ACATGTTTAATCCAAGTTACATTTCCACGGTACTCATGTCAATTTGGTCCCATTGTGCATAAAAATTAGCCTTGGCCCCATGACCCGAACTAATCTCTCTTTTTGTTGGGCTCCCATGACCCGAATTAAAGACTTGGCCCATTTGTTCATGCTAGTTTATAGTTTTCTTAATGTTTCTATTTTTAAAAATTAAGTGCATTTTTCACATAAAAAATAATGTTAAAATGGTCTTATTGTGCAAAAACATCATCTTAAAATACATTATATAAATTTATAGGAACCAATTAAAGATGATTTAAAAATAAAAAAATAAAAAATAAAGATGACAATTTAATTTGATTAATTAAGCCAACAGAGGAAAGCTTAATTAATCAAAATTTTATTGTATAGATCTCTTTCAAAATAATAGTTATGTGCTTTTTGCTCTTGTTGATCGTCATCCCAGTTGTCGGGTGGATTGCTTTTTGCATATGATGCATTCTTTTAGCAATGGTCTCATGGAAGATTTATGGAAAGCACTATCAGTTGTTTAAAGACGCAACTCTCTGTATCAAAAAGATATTTAATAAACCAATGAATGGCAAAACGTCCGACCTACAATTTGAACCTCCGGTGTAGAGAAGTATGTATCTAGATAGTAGGCGCACTCACCAAAATTGCCATTTATTTGGGAAATCAGTATTATTTGTTTGATTTTAAGCTGAATAATTGTAGTGCATTGTTGTATTTTATTTTTAATTCAGTTATCGTAATATATATAAATTTGGTTTTACTAAATCCAATTTTCCGGTTAGACTCATCAGCAATTAGCATAAAAGGATTTTGTCAGTTGAGCAATATTAACACATTGTCTGGGATTAGTCGAGGTGCGCGCAAATTGACCCGAACACCCATAATCACCAAAAAATATATATATATTAACAAATTGTTACATTTTTTCGGTATCAAATTGTTACTTTATTCTATTCAATTCAAATAAATATGGGTCTATTTGAAACATAGTTGACTTGAAAGATATCTAATGTAAATAATACTTTGGTTAGTATTTTAGTCAAACGCATGGACATAAATATTATTTTTCTAATCATATTAGGGCACAGGACAGGGCTGAGCCATTGTCTGCCTAGAGGGCACATGCCTTTGGTTTTTTGATAATTTTATTTGTATATTTATAAATAAATAAAATTCTATACAATACCTCCTAAAATTTTAATTTCTAAAATTATTTTTTAAAGTTTTCTTTCTTTTCTCTTTTGCTCTTAAATTTTTTTTTGATAAAAAAAAAAAAAAAAAAAAAAAAAAAAAAAAAAAGAAGTTGAATTTTACTTCTTCAATCAAAGTCTATTTTTTTTCCTTTCAAAGTTCTCATTTTTATTTTCTTTTTTTTTTCTTCCTGTTTTGTTTTCCCACTTAAGTTTCTTCTTTGACTTACTAATGCTGTATATAGTATGTAATTTTTTTTTTTTCTCTTGTTCTTATTTAAATTTATTACCATAATTTATGAAGTTAATATATGTAATTTTCATGCATCGCTTTCAAAATACAAAAGACCTACAATTATATTTAATGAAAATATTAATTAATAAATAATATTTAGTTCTTATATTTGTCAAGTACTTATATTTTTTATAGTAATTATTTTAGCATCTCGTTTTGCCATGTTTTTTTTTTTTCTCCACAATCAATATTTGTTTGTTTGCCCCTGCATAAGGAGGGAAGGAGGTTGTGTGGAGTTTCTCGTGACAATCATAGCAACATTGCTCTATTTTAAAGGTATACAAACATTATTATGAAAACAATCGAATATGGATACACCCGTTCGTATAATTGGACGGTCTATCAATTCGATTACTGGGTAATGACCAGAGTGTCGCAACTTCAAGATGTTGACAATTTGGAATAATAGCGTTGTGCTATACTAGAAAGTGCAATTGCAACTGTTAGGGATAATTAACTCTCTCCAACCCACTCAACGGTCAGCTATTTCCCCCTTCATCACACACAGTGAAAGTATCATCACATTACATCAACACAAGCATATATGGAGATAACAATCACACACATACACACATAACACAATATTTTACATGGTTCACCCAACTCTAGGACTACGTCCATGGGAGAGAGAGATTTCACTATTATTAATCAAGGAAGAGAATATACAACCACATGTCAAAACTCCACCCACTCACTTATCATCTCTTATGAGGCTACATGTATACACTCGGGAATTACATATATTCACTTCTCTTCTCTTCTCTTCTCACAACACTTACCCTTAAACCTCTTATATCTTTTCTCTCATTTCTCTCTCTAAACCTCCCACACCTATCTCTATTTATAGAGTCTTCAAACCCAATTTAGTGTTGGACAAGTATTCCCCAAATTGCCTACAAAGAATTACCATAATGATCAAAACTCTAAAATAAAAACATAATGAGATACAATTTCCTCTACAAATTTCAACCTTCTAAAACCAAAAAAGAAACTAATTTTCTGCACACAAATTTTAAGCCACAAACCCAACAATCTCCACCTTGGCTCAAAATTCTATCTTCACGTGCTTCTCCATAGCTCCACCTCGAACAAGGATCTCTTCATACCTCCACCTCAACTGAAGATTTCTCCATCTCAACTGAACATTTCTCCACCTCAAATAAAGTAATATGATAAATTTGAGAAACACTCTAACAATCTCCACCTTTTATCAAATTTCATCATTCTTCTTTCTCTATCTTTTCTATCCATCTCACTAGTGTTCAATTGTTCATGCATGGCAACCCACCAATCTTCAAACTCATCTTCATCAATTGTTTTTCTGGATCAAAGCAATAAACCTCTCCTCTTCACTCTTCATCTTCCACTTTGTTCTTTATCGGGCTTAGAGCAAACCCTTTCATTCTTTACACCCCTTGCCCTATCTTGAGAACTAGCGCTCACTCTTGGCTTGTCCCTAAAACTTGTTCCTCGTGGGCTTCATATCTATCACCTTTACCGCATCTTGAAAATGAGCTTCGGTTAGCTTGTTCCAAAACTTGTTCCAAAACTTGTTCTTCATGGGCTTCACACCATCAACATACCTTATGTCATCATCAACTCTTGATTGAATCTCTATAGCACCTCACGATCATCTTCTGCTCTGATAAACTTCGCACCAATCTTCTTCTACTGATCTTCAGGACCTAGGGCTGCAAATGAACCGAGCTGTTCATGAACAGCTCGAGCTCAGCTCGTTAGAAGCTCGGCTCGGGCTCGTTCATTTAATAAACGAGCCAACCTTGAGCAACCTTGAGCTCGGCTAGTTAGGCTCGTGAACAAGCTCGTTAAGAAAGCCCATTTGTATTACAATTTTACATTTAAAAGGTTTGGTCCATATGAATATAAGTTTTGGCCCAATTCACATAATGGCCCAAAGAATTATAAGACTTTAGCCCATATTCAAATAAAACTACATCTAAGTCATTAAATATTGGTTCATCTTCTCAGCCGTTGATTTGCTTTAAGTTAAAAGATAAGTATAACCCTAAAAATAAGAAGTCTCCAGCAACAACGGCATGGGATCTTCAGACACTCCCACAAACAACGGCAGCACCATCATTCTCTCTCCTTCAAATGGATCTCAATGTCTCTCTCAAACGCACCTTTAAGTTCAGGTAGTGGAATATATCTCTAGATCGAGTCCCTAAACTCTTGTAAGGTTTGATTTAGATCTTGAAATTTTATTTGTATTTCTTCTTTTTCTTCTCTGTTGGAGGTGGAGACTTCTTCTTCTTCTTTGTCGTTTCTGTTGGAGGTGCAAATCAGATTTCATGGAAGAGACCATCTCCAATCAGATTACATGAAAGAAATGTGATGTTTCTTGGATTGTGATTGTGGGTATGTAACCGAGCCAAGCCCGAGCTTTTTGCAATTCTACCGAGCCCGAGCTCGAGCTCGGGTAGCCCAAGCTCGCCCGAACACGAGCCGAGCCCGAACACTTCCCTGGAGATGACGAGCCGAGCCCAAACAACCCAAAGTTCAGCTCGACTCGGCTCATTTGCAGTCCTATTAGGACAATCACAGGCTCTGACCCATCATCAGCTTTAATACCAGTTGTTGGGGATAATTAACTCCCTCCAACCCACGTATCGATCGGCTGTTATTAAGAATTAAATCCCCCTTCATCACACACAACGGAATCATCATCACATTGTATCAACACAAACATATATGGAGATAACAATCACATACATCCACGCACAACACAATATTTTACATAGTTCACCCAACTCTAGGGCTACGTCTATGAGAGAGAGAGATTCCACTATTATGAATCAAGGAAGAGAATATACAACCACATGTCAAAACCTCACTCACTCACTCATCATCTCTTAGACATTTTCTCTCCTCTCTCCTCTCTAAACCTCTCACACCCATCTCTATTCTTAGAGTCTTTAAACCCAATTTCTTGTTGGACAAGTATTTCCCAACTTGCCTACAAGGAGTTTCCATAATGATCAAAAATCTAAAATAGAAACATAATGGTATATAATTTCCTCTACAAATTTCAACCTTCCAAAACCAAAAAGGAAACTAATAGAAACATAATGGTATATAATTTCCTCTACAAATTTCAACCTTCCAAAACCAAAAAGGAAACTAATTTTCTGCGCACAAATTTTGAGCCACAAACCCAACAACTACTAGATAGGCAGAAGTTTCAGTTGAAATAAGGGTTGTTGATTTTCAAACAAGGATACTGCTAACTGGAAATAATAATCTTGTAATGCACCAAAAACAACCGTGAACAGCTTATACCAGAAGTTCTTTTTAAAATAAAACAACATCCAGAGAGGATCTGTGTCTCTGTATTAAAGTTCTGCTTGATGTCCTCTGTCAGACAAAACAATTGGGGTTGAGCTCATTTAACAACCGAGACCAATTCGATCAATCCGTGACTCAGCTCATTGTACCATTCTCATGCATTTTCGACAAGCAAACATCATAAATAACAGCTCGTGTTTCAGAAATGAGGATTTTGATATTTATTATCAAGGCATCCTACACTGATAAATTATATATAACCTTCTCACAAATAGAATGCAGAAACAATTATTTCTGCAGAACAATTGGGGAATTTTACTCACGGTCGCAGACTCTATTTACATTTTAAGGTTGGCATTTTGTATCTGTACAGCATTATTCTCATTTACTTGGGATCAAATTAAGTACTCATAATACATTAAGAAAAGGGCATCTGGGGATTCTTTCGGCAGGCTGTTGATGTAGAGATAGAATTGCAGCAAGTCCTCCTTGGAAACGGTTTCAGTGTCAACCACATCATCACTACAAGTAAGAACCCATAAGTCTCTCGACTTCACTCTCTTTAAACTACCACGACAGAAGGGACAGGACTCGGATCGTGTGTTCCTGCAAGTTGGAAAGAGTTTTAAGAGCATTAAGAATAAAAACCTTTCTTCAAATAGCAGGCACTCAAGATGGAAGAAGTGTAAACATAAGAATAGAAATATGAGGCATAGGGCTACCAATCACGATAGCAGTTGATGCACATTGCATGACAGCAATTAGGTAACACCATTTTTGCGCAAGGTTCTAAGCAAATTCCACATTCATCTTCTCTCTCAAAATCAATATTGGAAAACTCATTATCTCTTTTCAGTCTCATTTTGCTTATAATCTCCATGCCAGGATTCTCATCATTCGCATCGTCCAGCTCAACTAAGTCCCCATGGAGCCGCCGAAGAGATGGCAATATAACAGCTGCAAATTTGGTTTTTGTAAAAGCAAACACGTAAGTACATGCATAACAGGCCTACCGGAACTTTTCCCTCAAAATCAGTTAATAAGTAGATAATCCACAAACCATAGAAGTCACTAATAGTTGCCTTCCTTCCATTTGTAGATATGTTTGGCCTTCCATCAGTGAACACCTGTAAACAGAATATAGGTCACTAAATTTAGGGACATGTGGTTTCATTACTCAGTAAAGGTTTTAGGGTTTAGGGTAATTCAGAAGGAAACATTCCCAAATTTTATTTAACAATTATTTCTAAGTTTTAACAATTGTTTAGTGAAGGAATATTCTAATAAGTTATCAATAAAAAAAGCCATTTATTGAAGGAATATCCTTTTCCATTGTTCTTCTAAAGAAGCATATAGAACTCAAGTTCAATTTTTATATATTTATTTTATTTTATAATAATAAAATAATAATAAAAAAAGGGATAGACAGGAAAAAGTGTGGAACCAAACCTTATATACAAGTATGTGGAAAAGGTTTAGATATCTGGGGAGCAGACATGTACAGGAGCAATCCATCCATTGGATCAAAAACAAGAAGAGAGGCGCCAAGTGATTGTAAACCAATTTCATTTGAAGGTGTGAACCTCCCTTTGCTCTTGGAATTGCAGCAGCCCTGCAACCAAAAATCAAAAATCAAAGGAATAAGAATTACGCTAACCAATCAAAGCAGTATTTACAATCATTGCATTTTCAATTTGATCACACTCAACGGAATAAAACTACAATGATAGCATATATCTCTACATTTCAAGATTAATCAAGGAGGGGCACTTTGTTGCTTCAGAGTACAAACCTCCAATAAGTTTTGCACTTTGAATTTAATTTTGAATTTCTATTAGAAATGGCTACACCTTTTCACCATCTTTGCTCGTGCTTCATCAGTAAAACACGCTTAACATGTCTTAAAAAAACATGTGCACATATACAACAGGAAAAATTATGTGATTCTAGAGTGAGTGTGGTCTGTACAGCTCTTAGCTTTACAAATTGTATCATGTATAGGTGCATTCAAACCCAAAATTCCGACGAGCTAGGCAGTCAGAACAATCTAATTATTGGGGAAAAAAAAAACAAACAAACAAACGGAAAAACATGATACATTTAGCTAATAAAGCACACAGGTAATCAATCAAACCACATAATTGCTTTTGAGTCTCCAAAGGAGACTGAACAACTTCATCCCAATCCAAGCTTGTCTTTCCCCAAAAGGAAAAAAATAAAATAAAATAAAATAAATCCTCATGAGAGATTGATTGAAACCTTGATTGAGCTGGGATATGTTGTCAGACTAGGCACAAAAAGGAAAATCCCAAATGGGTATTTTAGTTCAAAATAGAAACCACCATATAAAGAAAGCATAGCACAGAAGCCCAATTAGGGGGTTGTATTTCATCAATTTAAATAGTCCCTATAATTGCGATGATGGTGATTGATGATCAAAACCCCAGATAGTCAAATAACATGTATATACAGTACATATGAGTATACATGTAATTATATATACATAAATTATATTCATATTCAGATGAATTAAAAAATACACAAACAGGAACTGATCAAACCCATATAGAGGAAGAAACTGAGGTGAAAGAGAGCTCACAAAGCATTCGCGTGCTGTATATCAGCCTCCAAAACTTTTAGGGAGTCCTGGTAAGAAGACCTTCGGAGCTTGTAATACATCATTTCCATCCCTCTCTGTAAAATACACAGACTCTCTCTCTAACTATGTTTTCAGAAAGACAGGGGAAGAACTCTTCCTTCACAAATATAGACGAACTGCGGGAACCACTAGGTTAGGGTTTTCAAAACCTAATCTCCAATTATCCACCAACAGACAAACAGAAGTAATAAGAGAGAGAGAGAGATAGATAATACACAAAAACACTGTTCTTTCTCTCTCTTCCTCTCTCTCTCTGACTTGTTTGCAATCTCTTTTCTGAATGAGGGGCGGCTGTTGAGTAATGACCGTTTGGGTTTGTTGGTCAGAAGGCCTCCCTTTATCTCACATAGTTGCTTAATGTTTTTTATTTTGAATTTTAGTTTTAGAAAATACTTTATCTTCTAGAAATTTCATTATCCACGTATCAATTAACTTATATTTGTCACTTTCAAATACCAAGAGGATTATTAATCTTATCATAATAATTAAATTAGTCAAACTTAGCCAAAATAAAGATACGTTAAATATTTAACGACTGCGTGTGATATAATATTTAATTATTTATTATACTTGGACGTTCCGAACTTCCGATTACTTATAAATTAAAATTTCTATTTTTATAAATATGTAAAAACATATATCTAAAAAATAATACCAATATACTTTCATATTTTATTCTATTTTCTCGAGATTAAATTTATAGTGAATCCAACATTATATCCATATAAATAATTATATATCCAGATAAATAAATTTAAAAAATATTAACTCCAGACACAATCAAGAATTGAAAATAATAAAGAGGTGATCATAACTTCAAAAGTAATCAAGCTCATATATCTTGGATGTCAAATTTACATAAATACTAATTCACAAAATTGTATTTTCATTTAATTCGGTAAATTTCAAATTCTCTTCAAGATTGCATTTTGGTCGATCTTACCTTTTCAAATTCAATGTTATATTTAGGAGTGCTTAAAGGAGTATATTATTTGATTATTAATGGGCTTAATGGCTACATTACACATTAATTTAATAAAATAAAGGAATATAAAATATGTCTCTCATGATGAGACATATTAATTTTAGAGAGTGATTATATGCTTGCTTATCCAACTTATTTCATTTAAAGATTAAAAAAAAAAAATTGTGTAAAACATGTATATAAAAAAATTATACACATTTATTGGTGTTAAAATATAGCTTGTGCCTTTGATAATTATCTTTATTATGAGAAAGAGGCTCATCCTTTGTTACATGAGATCATCCACATATTAGCTTTTCCCATCATAAGGAAATATGTTAAGAAAAATTAATTTATATTTTTTCTAATTATACAAATAACTAATCTTAATATGATAATCAATTTTCAATTAGGACATACAATAAAATGCCTATTTGGGTTGTCCATAGAAGAAGTCAGAGCAGTGAGTAGTTGATTAAATAATAGAATATTAGACACATGGATTGTCGGGTAACCAGATTATTGCTGTTTTGGTGGTAATAATATCATGAAAATTAGGTCAATGTGACAGTGATAGAAATAGGTTCCATAAAAACGACGTCAAATCATAATTAAATCAGATGGGCTACCAAATTAAGATAAAAATAAAAGTAGGTTATATAGATTACAAGTCATATTATTCTTTTAGACTTTAGAGACGTGTTGATTAATGCTAGATTGCAAAGTTAGTGGATGAGATTTATTATTTGTATGATCATTATTGTTTCTTGACGACTAAGCAATGACATCTTCTATGAAGTTAAAAAAAAAACCACGGTATCTTCACTATTTATTTATTTTTTGTGATAATAAATAATTAAGATTTTTTTTTAACGATTAAGCAATGACATCTTCTATGAAGTAAAAAAAAAAAACCACGGTATCTTCACTATTTATTTATTTTTTGTGATAATAAATAATTAAGATTTTTTTTTAACGACTAAGCAATGACATCTTCTATGAAGTAAAAAAAAAAAAAACCACGCTATCTTCACTTTTTATTTATTTTTTGTGATAATAAATAATTAAGATTTTTTTTTTAAAAAAAAAAAATTCTACTTAATTTTGCATATTTTCAAATATATCAACTTTTTCAAATTATTAAGTTTGACGGCTAATTTTATTAAACTAATTACAAAATTGTACAAAAATACTATTTAAACTCTTTAATAGTTCAAAATATCATCATTTCTTCCAAAAAGGTCCAACGTCCTCCGAATTCCTAAACTCCATTGTTTATGGCCATGAGTTCACAAGGTCCATCTCAAGACTTGTGGTATCAGAGGACATTTTCCAATAGCTTTTTCTCTTTTTCTTTTCTTTTTTTATATAATTATTTTCATTAATTTCTCTCTCTATATAGATAGCTTTCTCGATCTATTGGTAGTCTTGTTGGTGAATTTGATCTCTATTCTATTTTTATTTAATTGATTAATTCTCATAATCTGTTTCTGTTTTTTGTTCACTTAAACCCTATACTTCCCAAAAACAATATTTAAATATGCAAGAAAGAAAAGTATGTGAATCATACTAATTTTTGGTACTTTTCTTGCTTTTGGTTAACTTATTTCTTGTTATTCTACAATTATTCATGATCCATAAATATGTTATGTATTGATCATCAATTTGAATCTCAATAATTAACAAGTTCCAGTATCACTAATACATGACTTGATCGGTTCCAGTATCACTAATACATGACCTGATCAAGTTTGGCGTTATATATGCGAGTGAGTCAGGTACTATTCCCAACAACAGTTTTTGTTTGATATGAGTTGCTTCATTTTGTCTGTTAGAACTCATGGCCGGACGTTGAACTTTCTTGGAAGAGATAAGGGTATTTTGGACAGTTACAGAGTCTAAGTAGGGTTTTTGTACACTTTTGTAATTAATGTGATGAAAGTAACCGTCAAACCTAATAATTTAAAAAAATTGATATATTTGAAAATATGCATAATTAAAAGTATTTTTAAATTTTCCCTATAATTAATGTTTATTGATGTGCGATACTACATTGTTCGTATTCTAGGAATATTCTATAATTTTTCTCTTCATGATTATAGAACAAACATGTAAAAATTGAAAGTTACTATACTTTTTATTTTTTATTTTTATCCTCCATAATGAGTCCGCAATGGCATTTGTACTACGTACTACTGAAATTTGCATATACCTAAATCCTCCACCATTATGCCAATAAATCTAAATCTCTAGTAAAGAAATTTTGACACTTTTTATTTTGCACCCTCTTCGACTTTCAATTTTAAAATGTGTTTACACAATTAAAAAATGTCAAAGAATATAAATGTAAATAATTTTTTCTTCAGACAACTTAGGACGTCAGTCATAATCACGCTCTTTTGTAACTCAATAAGCATGCTTCCAAAATTTTTTACTCGACATTGACTTTAAAACCATCTATCACCATTCCCAACTTATGTAGATCATGTTGGCTTTCCACACCATCTATACTCACATATTTGAAAATCATTTACTCAATTAGAAAATATCAGAGTGCCAAAAACCTCCACAAACGAAGAAGAATCATTTTCAATGATGTGGTGATATTTGTTGGGCATGCTAAACGTTTAATTGTAGCCTTGAATTCATCTGAATTAATCTTTTATGGTCAAGCTAGGCTCAAAGGGCAATTTGCTTTCAACTTTTATATTATGTTTGGGAGCTCGGTTTGGTGATGCCAAATATAACGTTAATGTTTTCATATTTGGTCGGGACCCTTCTAGTAGGCTCTACGAAAATTTTGCCCATACCCTTTACTTTTCTAAATGGTGAATGTGGGATGTACTCAAGGAAGAATGGATATGGACGCGTGACGCAAACAAGGTGATGTAACAAATCTCAAAAAATAAAAATAAAAATAAAATTAAATTAAATTAATACAAATACGACATAAATGCACAAAAAACTAATAATATAGTATTTTATTATATATAAAAAAATAATCATTTTTATTCATTTTATCCACATAATCATGAATGAAAACACTAATTTAGAGTTTAGAATTAAATGTTTATTATTTTTGTTATTTTAAAATTTGTATTATTTTTCGTATCAGTTCATAATATATTTTAAATTGCATTGAATTGCATTCTTTTAAAAATAATAATTACAAAATTACCCTCCTGTGTTCTAAAAGTATTCAAAATGTGCCCTTGTCGTGTCCGATCATAAAAAATATATATATATATTCAAAATTTCAGAACACTTCTAGTTGTGCACGACACGTGCCTAAGTGTCTGACACTACCACGACACCTCTAGGTGGAGTGTGTCCGTGCTTCCTAGATTATACTAGAGATTGTAGGAGGAAATATTCCCCTTCCACCTTGTACAAGATAGAAAATAGGTACTATGGATTCGATAATTGTTATTATTTATTATTCAACATAAAATGAAATACACTGATACATGCACTTAATAAAAATTTAAACCAATAATTTTCGACTTTAAAAGTCAAGGAAGTGCCTCTAACTACCGTTTTGGAGGTGGATTTGAGAATTTACTATTTGGAAAAAGAAATGAAAAATTGTCATGGACATATTCTTTATACAAAAGTAGTGGAGTCGGTTTTTTTCTTCAACGCAACTACACTAATGGAGTAGTTGCACATTCTTATTAAGGACCTCACAATTTCATATAAATAGAGTTCATAAGCACAACAATATGCAAGTGATTTTTTTTTTTTTCTTTTTTGTTTTGTAGTGGGCATTAACATATAGACATACAAATAGAATTTACAACTTTCTCCTATTTGCTATCTTTTAAGTAAGCAAAATTTCATACATACTGAATTCACAAGCACAACAATATGTAAGTGATTTTATTTTTTTTCATTCAAAAACATGCATATTTAAAAAGGGGATGATGCCAATTACATCCCCTTTTCGAATCAGAGACCTTGCCGGCAAACAAACAATTTGGAGTGATTGAAATCTACACATGATTTCATAATGAGAGAGACATTAAGGTTGATATTTTTAACATCTTCTCGTACAAAAAACGATGGAACTTAGTTTTGTAATGACGATAGATTTGCATAATTTACAACCATGCTGTCATGTTCACTTGTGACAATGCATAAGTACTTAGCTTATTGTTGGGAACTGAACATCCACACTTTTGGCGTTGTAGATGTCACCTTGATGCAGCATGACATCAAACGCACATTCTTTTGCTTGCTTGCTAATGAATATGGCTTTGTGAGATTTCTGTTTTAAACTAAAAGGTATTTATGGCCTTGCTTGGATTGCATTTCTGAAAACTGTTCTTGAGAGAATCAGAACAAAAAACAGTTTTCAGTTCTTTCAAATTTCAAACCTACTTAGTTAAGAAAATTTACAAAACAGTTTCTGGAAAACAAAAACTCATAAAATTACTTGGTTGTATGAGTTTTTAAAAATAATTTTATGAACTAAGAAAATAAATAAAAATATTATTGTACCTCACTCTTTTACTTCTTTAATTTATGATATTAACTATTAATGTGTGTGTGTGTGTGTATATATATATATATATATATATATATAAAAGTGTTGGAGGTGAATTTATTTTAGCTAGTATTCATAACTTAATAAAAGTTGCACAAATACAATATATTAAGTTTAATTAAAATTTCACTAAATTTATATACAATAAAAGAGTTACAAGAATTACTTCAAGTTTAGTTGTACAAACATATATTAATTTTAGTCATACATAATCAAAACAAAATATTAGACAATTACACAAATAGATAATCAAAGCAAATAATTGGAGAATTATAAAAGTAACTTCATCTAGCATTGCCTTTGAAAGATGCCCACATTTCATTCTTCAAATGAGTTGTAAGGGCTCCCATTTGTGCTGCACCATTATCAGATAAATTAAGTACATTCAGTACACCAACATTGCTACTGTTACCATTCCCCCATCAGCGACATTAACATCTTCTTCCCGATACTCCATAAAAAAACGATCATCTAATATATTTTGACGAATGAAATTATGAATCGTGCAACAAGCAATTATTATAAGTCATTGTCTAACCAACTTATAACAAGGCACAAGCTTTAAAATGGGAAAACGAGCCTTTAGTACATTTCATACCATTGAATCCTGCACTGGTTTGTATGCTTATATATTTAAATCTTATGTGACTATTTCATTACATAAAAAAAAAAAAAAAAATAGGCTTCAATCAGGACACATATTTTGTGTTGCAAACTTTGAACCCTTTCTATCTTGGGCTTCTTCCATTAATAACTCTACATGAATTCAGTGCCTACAAACATAAACTACCTCATCATTGGGTGCAAATTTTTTTTTTCCTTTCCCTGACTGTGCAAGGACGAACTACACACTCTGTTAGCCTTGGCTTGTAGCAGAAATTACTTGTAAACAAATAAAAGGTGTTTAAATAGAATACAAGAGAAGCTAATGTAAACTTTATGAATTACTCCTTCCTTTCAAGTAATCCTCTAGGGAAGGTCTGCTGCTTTGCTCCATGCTCCTAAAAAATGTGAAATTATCATTCATCCACACATTTCTCCCTCAATATTTTCAGTATATGATATAAGAAAGAGTAAATCAAGGAATTATAAATTTGGTAGGAATGAACTGTAGAGTAAAAAAAACGTGGCAATTGTTATTAGAATTTCAACATTAAGCAAAAAATGTTTTTCATCATAAAAGAGAATAGTAAATACATGTAATTGAATATTTAGAAAGAACTAGCAAAACTTGAATATATCAAGAATACAAATGGGACAAGTCAACAAATTAGGAATACGTATTGTCCATCTGAATATACTATAAAAGCTTTAGAAGAGACAATTATCGAAATGGCTATGACACAATCCAACTATCATAGATCAAAGCACATTTCCACGACATTTCAACATTTCAAGTCACTGGCCTCAAATAGTGAAGACACATACTATAGAATTACATTCCAACATCAAGAGCAACAGACCAATTCATCAAATTCTTTGACAGATATGTTATAGACTTATAATTAACATTACAAATACAATTATAGCCAGGTAAAGGAGAACGCCACAGGAATGAAAGTGAGTTCAATTAATAAAATTTCATGTCATTTTAACCAAAATGAGTCAGAGGACTCGATAACATTTCCACCTATTGAGAAGTAAAAAGAATAGCAACCTTAACTCCAATAGATGGAAATGGAATGACATATAAAGAAAAATGGGAGCCCTAACTCCCTAATTTTTCTCACTTGTAAATTTTTAATTTTTAAAATGGAGAGAGAAAAAAAAAATCAAACACAACTGAAATACAAAAAGAAAAAATACAACCAACCAAATCAAACCCAGATCTAAAGTGTTAAAAATCGCATAAAACCACAAATCAAACAATTTCAAACCAACCAAATCCATCCATAGAACCAAATTCACCCAAACAAATCAAATAAAACTAACCAAATCCATCCATTCAATATAAATAATCAATTCTCAACCCAAATCAAAGTGTGAACAACCATAAATCGAAAACCCATAAATCTAATAGAGAGAAAAATAGAAAGACAGAGAATTTTACCCGCACACAGAGATGATTGTAGGAAGAGAAACGCAGTTCGACCTTTTCTGCCTAAGAGAAGCGTAAGAAACTGAGAGAGAGATAGCTTGAAGAGAGACTTTGCAAAGAAATCTGTCAGAGTGAGAGAGCTTCAAACCTTGAAGAGAGAGAACTCTTTGTTTGGAACGATAGGATTCCGGAAGATTTGATTTTAGAATGGAATTTATGTTATAATGGTTCGGTCATTTTCATTACTTTCCTTTTCTTCAAATTTTGAGAATAAATTTTTTTCATTCTCTTTTTCTTTTCGGGTTCGATTTTTCGCCTTTTAATGTCGTTTTGAGTGCTCGAAAATAGTTTCTGAGACTCTTTCCTTTGGATTGACAACTTCGTTTGAGAATCGAGTCATTTCCACATTTTTTGTGTTTCGACACTATTTATTTTTTGGTTTTTTCCCTTTTTCGTCCTTTAGTCATTTTTCATTTTTCATTTTTCCTTACTTAACCTCACTTTTTGTACTCGGATTTGATTCCGGCTTGGTATACATCCATGATATTTCATTTCTATGATATTTACATTTTTACTTTTGTAGAAAAACATATTGGATGTTTACTTTTCTTGTAAAGTGCATGAAAGTATGACTTTTTGGTAATTAACCTAAACTTGAAGGGTTTTAGTGTAATTATGCAAAGTAATTATTTTTCGTCTTAGGGACTATTTTGCAATTTAATTTGGAAGATATTTTCAAAAATGACTTGTTTGCAATTTTCGAAAAGTGTGACAAGTGTCACACTCTCATTGGTCCACTTGTTGACATTTGTGTGGAAACACTTTGATGCATTGAATGATGACATGTGGAGGGTAGAGATTCACCCACTTGTTGGCCTAGGACTGGTACACTTGTTAGCATGGATGGTTGACAAGTGTAAGTTCAATATTAAGTCTTGGAAGTTTACATAGGATGGTGACAAGTGTAGGCTTGAGATTAAGCCTAGGAAAGAACCATAAATTCATGACAAGTGTAGATTCACCATTTAATCTTGCATTGTGTATGTGTGAGAGGTAGTGTAAGAGCACATAGTGAGTGGAGGATTTCTAACCCTTCCACTCACCATTTTACACATTATCATTTTCATTTTCACTTGTCTTCAAGAACCATAACCTAGCCACCATTGGAGAAAAGCTTGGTTAATAGTTTTCTTCTTCATTTTAGCCTCCTTCCACTCACCTTAGACATAAAACCTTGGAAGACAAAAGTTTCATTTCACTCCCCTCTTCATTAATCCTAAACTTGTTTTCCATTTTGAGCTTGGTTGCTTGGACTATAGAGATTCAATTATCTATTGAGGTAGGGGTGGTTGTATGTTTATCTTCTTTGGGTTTTATATATATTGGAACTTAATATATATTGATTACATACCTTTTAAAATTCTTGTACTAGCATGTAAATAAAGATTTTATATGCTTGACTTAGGATTTGTGGATTAAAGCATGTATGTGACTATTAAATTGTATAGGTAGGCTATTGTTTAATAAATTGCCTAATACTTATGATTCCATTGAGGTTTTATTATAGATATCTTGAGATTACATTTATGATGTTAAGTAATATAGATTTCATTGAAAGCTTAGTATGAAAATCTTGTGTGTAGCACTTATAATTACTTGTAAGTAGATTACTATATTTCATGATTTGCAATTATGGCCTATATTGATCGTAAATTGATATAACATGATGTGTAATATCATTAACTTGCCACTTTAGACATGTAATCTTAAGACATGGGTTATATGGTTTTACCCTATTTGTGCTTGGTAGGTAGTTTCATGCATTGAGATTGCATAGATGTCATGAACTTGTTGATTTTTGGAAGCTTGTAAGGATATGAAATGTTGATGGTTAGGGTTTGACTCTAGTACGGAGGATTGGAATTCTCCTAAGTCATAGTGCACACTAGGTAGTACCTTGTGGGTCGTAATTACCCAAAATAACTTGTATGGTCTCGTGGCCACATATCCTAGTCTTTCCATTATTTGATTTGCATTATATTCCAAGTTGTAAATCATGGATTTCTTGTAACTTGTGATTTGGTGATTTTAGTTTCAATGCGGTTAGTGTATTTGTTCATGTATACTTGAATGCTATGTGGTTGTCATTTCAAATATTTGTATAGCTTGAGATGATCCCTTAGAGTACCTTGAAAACATAGACATTAGGTGGAATGCACCCTTGTGATGATCTATATTTGGTTTACATTATACTTGAAACTATAGGATATGCGCATGCAACACATCCTACGAGTAACTTGATTACTCACCCTAATTGTGTAGGTTATTTTACAGGTAAGGAGACAATAATTGTGGATGCTCATCATCCATAGGGGCTCATGAGTACTTGAAGCATTTTTGTATATGGACATGCACTTGTTTAGCATGTTTTATCTTTTAGATGTTATATTTTGTATACCATGGATGTATGGTATTTTAGAAGCTAAGATGACTTCCTTTTTGTAATAAGTATCTAAGTACATTTGGAAGTGTTCATTTTACATGTATGACATGAGGCCAAGGGCCATTAACTTGAAAGGTTACAAGTATATTTCCTCTAAAACTCAAGTATTGTCATTGTAGCTTATTTGTGAGAAATTGAGGCTTTGTATGCTAAAAATTGTTAATGGAATGTAAAGAGGCTTTAGGCCATGTTCATACATCTATTTTATCATATTGCTTGCACTTGCATACTCACTTTAGCAAACAACACCATCCTTGATGAAACAAAAACTCTAAGTAGCATTTTTAGGGAGTTTTACCCTATTCTGTTCCAGGGGCATTTCAGGTATTTCACAATGCCTTTTTTTTTTTTTTCATTTTTCCTTGCGAGTCACGTAGAAAACTCAATTTTGAGGGGGGGTTCTTTTTTGTGTTTTTCCAGAAAATGCCATCTTGGCCCTCAAAAATCCAGATTTGTCCGAAAAATCCTTGCTTCCAGGTTTTGCAGATTTTTAGTGCAAATGTACTTGGTACTATTCATCGACTTTTTTTTGAAAAGTGTGACGACTGATCCGAAACTTCCGGGGGTCTTGTGGGTGTATTTTAAGATTGTATTTTCAATTTAGGCAATTTGAAAACCTCCCGAAACCCTATTTCCTTTCTTTGGGCAGTAACTCGGAGAAATTTTTACCCCCTTGACCAAATTTTCTTGGGGCATTCTGGGCATTTTATAATATATTTTTTTTTGTTTCCGTTCATGTTTGGGGTAGGAAACTTGATTTTAGGGGGGATTTCTTCTTTGAGTTTTTCCAGAAAAATCCGTTTAGATGCCTGTTTTTACTCTCAGTTGCAGTAGTAGTGGGTTGACGGCATTGTAGCTGTCACGGCCTTCGTCGGGCCGCCGCGACGTCTATTTTGTTTTTGACCTTTCTCCCTCATCCGGACTCCAAATCAAGTGAATTTTTTTTTTTTTTAAATTGATTAAATTTTCATTGTCTATCCAATGATATGCTCAGTTGCACTCTGTAATACCCCTAATTTTAAAAAGGATATACCTGATATTTAATGGTATTTAATTTATTATTTAAGTGCATTTTATTTGATTATGTGTCATTATTTTTTTTTATTAGGTGCTTAATTGTTTTCTTTTGTGTTGATTTAATTTATTTAAATGATATTTATTTTTAGTTATTTAATTGGAATTACTTGTTAGTGTTTTAATTATTTAATTAGCATTAATGGTTTAAGTGTAATTGGTTTAATTATTTGATTGGAATTACTTGTTAGTGTTTTAATTATTTAATTGGTATTAATGATTTAAGTGTAATTGGTTTAATTATTCTATGTGTGTCTTATTTTATGTGTGTCTTATTTGGTTTAATTGGGTTTACTAATTATTATTTTGTTCAATTAGATTATTTGTTAAGTATTTAATGGTGAATAGGATAATTAGGTAAATACATCTAACTAGGGTTTTAATTACAGTATAAATTAGGGTTTTATATTATAGCCGTCGTAGGTTTCTACGTTAATTGGATGGGCGGGTTAGGATTGTGAATTGGACTTAAATGAACCTAGGGTTTAGAAAAACTCTATAAGTATAAGGTAGACGTCTGTGTAGGGTTTTTTTAAGCAAAGCACACGTTTTGTGGAAGTGGAGAAGGAAAAACGCAGTTTTTCACATTCTGCCAAGATTTGATCAAAGTTCCGATCCTGCTTCGTCCGCGGTCCAATCGAGCTGAATTTTGGAGAAGAGGTTCACGACTCAGTGACGCACAATCTGAACGGTGGAGATCAGATTTTGACCTCGGGAACAGTGATTCGTACTCGTGAACAGTAACTGGGTCGCACATGTTTTTTCCATTCTGACCAGATTTCATCAAACATCCGATCCCGCTTCGTCCGTGGTCCGATCGAGCTAAATTTTTGGAGGAGAGGTTCATGACTGAGTGACGCACAATCTGAATGGTGGAGATCAGAGTTTGACCTCGGGAACAGTGATTCGTACTCGTGAACAGTAACTGGGTCGCACAGGTTTTTCCATTCTGCCCAGATTTCATCAAACATCCGATTCTGCTTCGTCCGTGGTCCGATCGAGCTGAAATTTGGAGGAGAGGTTCATGACTCAGTGACGCACAATCTGAACGGTGGAGATTAGAGTTTGACCTCGGGAACAGTGATTCGTACTAGTGAACAGTAACCGAGTCGCACAGGTTTTTTTCCATTCTGCCCAGATTTCATCAAACATCCGATCCCACTTCGTCCGTGGTCCGATCGAGCTGAAATTTGGAGGATAGGTTCATGACTCGGTGTCGCACAATCTGAACGGTGAAGATCAGATTTTGAGTTCGGGAATAGTGTTTCGTACCCATAAACAGTAACCGGGTTTTGGAACTCGCCGGGATTTTTTAAGAAGACGACGTTGAAACTTTGAACAAAAGTTTCTGAGGCAAGATTCTATCCTTACTCTTTCCCTTAGGCTTCATACTCTTTGCACTCTTAAATGATTCCAGGATTAATGAAGATTAAACCAAACTAAAATGATATCTGTTTTGCTATGAAACTGGTAGTTACAGTAGTATTGTATGCTTGTTCAACCTAGACTAAGCATGTTTGTGGATGCATTGTGGTTCTGTGGTTCACGTTTTTCCTTACCACTGCTAGTATAAATTATTGGAAGGATGGGTCTAGATGCTAGCTATCTTAACTTCTGTAATAGCAACTGTTGGAACTTAAATACTAGGAGGATTTGAGTTTAACACTAGATCGATTTTGTGGAACACTTTAATTTGAGCATGTCTACATACATACTGTGAATATTGTTTTGATGCTTACATTATCACAGTTAGTATCAACTGTGGAGGTTAGGATTTTGTGATACATATCCTACATATCTGTATGTCATTTGTAAGGTGTTAAATGGAAGTTTTAATTAATTCTGTCTTTATATCAGACTAAAGGGAACAACTTAAATTGGGCATGTATATGTTGTTGTTGTGACCCTATTTATCAATGCTTATTTTATCACTGCTAACATTGAATGTTGGATGTTGGAATTTAGTTGATATATACTTGATTTATTGGTATTATTGACTATTGGAGGATTGGAAAGTAGGCACCGGTATGGGACGGTGGCATACTAAGGATGGGTTTGGTTTTTA